TGGCGGCTGAGACCGGGCCGGGCGCGGCGCTCTCAGTGGAACTGGCGGGCTATGCCTCAGCGGGGCATGGGAATCTCCATTCGCGTCAGGCGTGTGTCCAGTGTCCCACAAATAAACACAAACACACAACAGGCGTGTTTTGTCGGCAGCATCCGCCGGGCTCACGGGAGCAGCGCATTTCTGCGTGACTCTAAAGGCCTGGCTACACTATGCGTTTTCTTCGTGCGTTTTTTGCGTGTTTGCGTGTTTTGCGTGATATCGTTCTAGAAAAAAGAACGATATTACGTTTTTGTGATGTTTTTCACCTTAAATTTTAGTTACATAAGAGTTATATTAGCTTTTGTATATAACCAAAGTAAAAATTTCAGACTTGTGCCGGGACCAAAAATCAAGATCCAGGATCCTCAAGGTCCCACGGCAAATTCAATTTTTAGAATCCAAGGTTTCCAAGGTCCAACGGCAAATTCAATTTCTAGAATCCAAGGTTTCCAAGGTCCCACGGCAAATTCAATTTCTAGAATCAAGGTTTCCAAGGTCCCACGGCAAATTCAATTTCTAGAATCCAAGGTTTCCAAGGTCCCATGGCAAATTCAATTTCTAGAATCCAAGGTTTCCAAGGTCCCATAGCAAGTATACTTTGCAGGGTCCACAGTCCCCAAGGTCCCACGACAAGAATGCATTGCAGGATCAGCAGTCCCCAAGGTCCCACGACAAGAATGCATTGCAGGATCCACAGTCCCTAGGGTCCCACGACAAGTGTGAATTTGAGGATCTAGTCCCCAAGGTCCCATGACAAGTACACATTTCAGAGTTCAGGGTCCACAGTCCTCAAGGTCCCACGGCAAGAATACATCTCAGGATCCAAAGTATTCAGGGTCCCACAACAAGAACTTAAACATACTAACATTCTGATGAGCAGACTTACTTCTAAATATTCTGCCAATGGATGCCCAGCAACATTTAAAGGGGCAGAACCTATGCAAACCTGTGAGTGTGGACTGTGGTGGTTTTATCGTTAACCAACATAGGTAGGGGGAGCTTCAACACAAGTTAAAAATGAATCATAATATCAATCTCTCCTTCTTTAACCTGACAAATTCGTAAAAAATATAGGTAGGTAATAGGTACCTTGCAATTTGTATTGTCATGTCCCTTTCAATTCAATCTTACCTTATCAGTAGGAATGTAGGATAGCACCTTACAGTTATTGAAGACAGACATTCAAGTATTCTTTCAGGCAATATAAAAAACCAGAAATAAAACCTACAGGCTTCATAGAAATGGAAAAGTTGAATTGGATAGGTATATGCTTTAGATTTTCTGCACATTCAGTTACATAATACCTAGGATAAAAAGTAAAATATGTTCTAAGTCTTGTCTGCGCGAGCGCTCACAGAAAAACTGATCAACTAAGCCAATAGAATTAGAGTATCAGCGAGCGCAAACCTTACTTACTGTTCATTCACATTAGATTGAAGGCTCTGAACAAAATTCCATCTGACAATTTTTTCGTCAGCCGGTTATTCGTCGGCAGATTTTCGTCTGACTTTTTCGTCTTGCATTTTTTCGTCTGTTCGAATTAATTTGGTGCATTTTTCGTCTGAGTATTTTTCTGTCCGGCATTTTTTCGTCTGGACGAGGCGGAAAATGTCCTCATGAAAATAATGCGCGGACTTAAAAATGCACAGACGAACAAATGCATAGACGAAAGTCTGCGGACGAAAATCTGCAGACGAAAAATTGTCCGACGAAAACCTGCTAAACGAAAAAGTTGAACTGTCATGGAATGATTGCTTATATTGCTCATTGCTCAATGGTGATTTGATGAATTGCAAAACAAATAAGTTTGACACTTACTTGGTCAGTGGGTAGCTTCCAAGTAGCTTCAAGCCCGGCATATCACAACCCAGAAAATATGTGAGGTCAGTTGGGCAAACTAGACCTTTGGAATCAAAATATGGAGGCATCAAAAGATTGATTCCTTTTGGGCATAAATGCAGACCATTTCTAACTTACCAATCACATAAAAATAAGAGAGTGTTTCAAGAAGGAGCATGCCTGATCTTGAACAGAAATGCTTGAACTATCTCCTAAGCAAAATAATATTGCTCTTATCATAACAATTTAAATTCTATAGGTAGTGAAAGGCAATCAAGGAATTGATTCACTTTTAACAGATAATCATAATATTGATTCCCCATCAGCTGGCTAATCATTATTTTGATTCACAGGTAATGTTAACAGATAGGCAACAATGACTTGCAAGAATACAGCATTTATCTTGCTATTATTCTCATTTAGTGGTATCCTCAGCACCACAACTGATACCTATAGCATTGTTGTACTTTACCTTCACTACATTTGATAACAACTCAAAATTTTTAAATGTCAAGAATACAAAAACTGAAGCAACAGGTAAAAACCATATAAGTAATATAAAAGCACTACAACAATGATAATTAGGGGTTTAAAAATTTCATTTTGCCATTTTACACAAATACTGATTGGTTAGTAAGTGATTCATGATACAGAAATAACATACAGTGTGATTTCCTCAAAACAGCTTTTACGTGATGGACAGTGGCTCTGTCTTTTTCCCATTCACAAGGCCAAGGGGACAATTTCTTAGCTTTGAGGTAACACTTTTTGCAAACCTACCACATTTTTCTACCTTTTAAAAGAAAAATCTCACCGTCATGGGCCTTTTTTCAACCGTAACGATTCATTTGAAGTCAAAAGTGTACCCAAATGAATCAAAAAATTGATTCCATGCCCATATTTGGTCATGGCTCCTCCCACCAGAATCAAATTATTGATGCCTCCATATTTTGATTCCAAAAGTCTAGTTTGCCCAACTGAGGTGAGATTAGAAAAGAACTTTCCAAACCACCACTGTCCACTGTTTGACAGTTTCATAATCCATAACATTGATAATGTAAAAAGCTACCAGGTTTCTTGTACCAGTTCTGCCTCACAACCATGGCAATGATTTTGCTCTATATATGTCTACACAGTCTGGTTCGTTTTCTCTTCGTGTAGCTATCTAGCCCCTTGCAGCTGGTCGCTCAACCATAGATATTTATTGAAGTGCTTACAGACAAAACCTAGTGCAGGGTCCTTAGTGGCCCATGTGCAACATAAACCTCATGGTCCAGCTTCCAGGATTCTTGAGGTCCCTCAACAAAATGGTGGTGTAGGTCCAGACCGTTCTCCTAAGATCCCATGACAAATAATAAAACTGTTACTGAAGGTCTGCATTCTGCAGGGTCTTGCAGCATACCAAAATTTTGAGGTCCTAACCCCTGGGTTTCCATGGTTTTAGGGCATATGAAATGTTGAGGTCCTGGGTTTCTAAGGTCTCATGTCACATGAAATGTTGATGTCCTGGGATTCCAAGGTCTCACGGCATATGCAAATGTTGAGGTCCTGGGATTCCAAGGTCTCGCGACATATGCAAATGTTGAGGTCCTGGGATTCCAAGGTCTCGCGGCATATGGATGTTTTAAGGTCCTGGGATTCCAAGGTCTCGCGGCATATGGATGTTTTAAGGTCCTAGGTTTCCAAGGTCTCGCGACAAAAATGACAATGCAAGGTCCAGGATCCATCAAGGTCCCAGACCTTGGACTCTGCGAACCCTGGATCTCGGATCTTTTTGGGACCTTGGCACAAGTCTGAAAATTATATTGTTTATAACTTTTTTCCTAGAACGATATTACGCAAAACACGCAAACCTGCAAAAACGCACGCAGAAAACGCATAGTGTAGCCAGGCCTTAATGCTGTGACTCACGGCGATACTGCAAAGAAGCTTATCTGTCCTACCGCTAAGTGGACTTCCTGATCACGAGATTGTCTCTGAAGAACGCATTAGGAATAAGGTGGTGACTGGTGGCTCCCATTGTTTATCTTCCTCGTCCCTACCGAGTGTTTACCCGTGAATTGTCAGTCTGCGGTCGATTTCATCTCACTCTTTGCCCGAGTTATCCGTTAACGGTCTATTTCTCAGCCTCCACGGTGTTGTCGGCTTTACTGGCATTTGTGGCTGTCGGCCGGCCGGAAAGGGTCTGCAGTCTGTCAATTATGGTCTGTATTCACCGACAGACATGATCAGCTGCATTGCCTACAACACAGACGTCACTTTTTTTACCCGAAAGTCTTGGTTCGCGTGCAACCTTGATCTGCAGCGGCGTGGATCGGTGGAGACGGGGGGCTCAAGTGACAGCCTGAAGGCATAACTGGGCCGCCGGAGAAACTCCGATATACAGTGGACGGATGCGGAGTAGCGTGTCAAACAGCAGTTGATTGGAACGGACGGGGAAGGACGATCGGGTGGAAACGGAAACGGCAGTGAACTCGAACCGGAAACGGCGGGACGCGCGGAGAAAAGGGTGCTTACGAGGAACAAAACACCCAAATGTATAATCGCAATGTTTGGTGCCGAGCAGCGCCAGCGCGCTGCAAAATTGCAAATGACGTAGAGGACCGATGGCCTATGTGTCCATTTCTAGAATATGTATACCCATCTTTAGAGAAAGAGGAATTTATATAGTTTAGAGCTTTTACTTATAAGTGATAAGATCAGCAATTCCAAATCCAAGGCGAGGACTGTTTGAAAACGCGAAAGTAAATGTTGCTGCCACTTCGTCCTATTTTTACTTTTCTCTCGCCGAGCTGACTTTGCAAATCAAAACAGCACCAGCGTTGTTACCAGGAGGAACTATCAGATTTCCGCGGATCTCTTTCCGTGTTCACATCAACCGATTTGGCTGCGTTCCGAGCCGGTGGGGCCGTCGCGCCCGCAGCTGGCCCGACCGGCCCCGTGCCGAACCCTCGTCGGAGCCGCTCTCCGCCGGCAGAGAGAGCCGCCCGAGCACCCTCTCCCCGTCGAATCAATCGTCGGCGCGCCGGCCTGCGTCGGTCTCGACGCGCGCGTGCGCCGCCGGCGACGCGAGAGCGACGGTCGCGGCGCGGCCGAGTCTGTTGTCTCTTGTCGCCCGGGACTGCTGCAGGCGAGAGCTGACCTCGCTAGCTGACCTGCCCGGAGGCACACGACCCGCGCGTGACCTCTGTGACCTCTGCGGAGCGACCCGGCAGCGTCAGAGCGACGGAGCAGAGCGGAGACTCAGCTGGCGACCATGTCCATCCAGATGCAGCTCGGAGAGGACCACGAGGGTGAGTAGTCAGCTGTCTCCATGGAAACGGGGTGACTGTGCTCGACTGGTGGGCGGGGGGGGGGAGGAGGAGGTCGGGCTGGATGGTGGGCGGTGTGTGGTGTTGACGCCTGGTGGTTTTGTTGGTTGTTGACTTGGCATTTTTCCTGAGTTTTCTATGTTTCGTGTTTTGTGTTATTTCTTTTATGATCATCCAGCGAATATTATCTGCGCTTTTCCAAGGTAATGATTTCCATTGACCATGGTGATCTGTCAGCCGTTTTGCCCGACCGACCGAATTGACCCGACCCTTCTAACGTTGGCATATCTCTGTTTTCACGAATACATTGCGTAAATAGCGTTATGAAGTGATCGCAGCAAAACTTCAGTGCTTCCGTCATTCGTTAGGCGGCACGGGCGGACATCGATAGCAGCGCCTCTATCGGTCACTAGGGAAAGCTGGGCTGTAGGCGACGAAATACCGGCTGAGTTGTCACAAGTTAAATAGGTTTATAGACATCCGTCTTGTGAAAAAGTTGAACTTTTGCCTTCAATATTTCTACAGGCAATTTTAGAAGTGCCTTCACATAGATTACAAAACCGTTTAAATTATTTTATTCACTTCAAGCCTTCCCTATTGTTCTTGATGATGCGGGAACTATTTCTAATTAGTGTTTCTAGCTTAGTAAAAGAACATATTGTGCAAACGATGAAAAAAGCATAAATGGAAGATTTTAAATGCAATTTTATGTAACAAATAATGGTAAATTCTCTACACATCAAGGAAAAGGTGCATGCTAACTGATAATTTAAAGTTCTTGGGGCCAGTTGGTTTCTTCTTTTCTTACGTCGCCCCAATGGCCGCGAATACACTTGTGATAACGCCTATCGTACCAATTTAACACATTCACAAGAAAATTCATGAACCTGACCCAAATGACCTATGGCCTATACCTACCTCTTTCTAGAGACCATGCAGGCCAAAATGCCGACTCAGCGAATGTCGGGCGCTCATTATCCGTTCGTTGTCAGACCTTTTTGTGATCGAAAACGTGCCAACAAGTGAAATGTTTGCTCCATAGCCATTATGGAGGATGTTAAAGTCACCTGAAGTTCAGGTCAAGGTCATTGACTTTGATGAGCGACGAGCGTCACTGACTCTTTTGAGTTTTAGGTACGACTTTAATGATTTGGATCAGATTCCGAATAAACGCCCATTTGAACATTTGAGAACTATGTAGTTTTGGTGACCATGCAATGTGTTGCGAAGCTCTCAGTGGTAGTTAACATCGACCTACTTAGATATCCGGCGGGATGCCTGACGGCTGACCTGACCTGACCTGACCTGACCCATACTTACCCCAAAGGCACAAATGCATAATTATCTAACAACAGGGTGAGAAATTCAGAATGAGAACTTCGAAATGCCCCAGAAATAAACTCACTTCAAGAAGTTCTAGCAGTTAGCACTGAGCACCAGGCCTCAATTTTCTGACATTTGGGGCATTGATCTGACCTGGAAGGTCAACCGATGACTTAAGACATAAGAATTGGGTAGCATAGGCTTTCGTGTCTTGTCACGAGCAATAGGTAGGTACCTACATACCTATGCTCATTTTTTCGCGAAAGTCTAGGGCTCGATCAGAGTCCGAACGGCTAGGGTCCGATGGACGGGACCCCTTTATACAGCAGCCTAAGCTCATAAAAATTAAAAATATACGAGCGAGGTTTATCGTTCCCCGTCACTCAGGTCTTGCTTTTAATCTAACCAACTGCTGCAATTCTTCTTATGGCTTATATTTGCTGCCCATGTTGACAATTTGAGACCGGGTCACTCAGGACCCGGGTTACCCGGGTTTAAAAAAGTTATAAAACTATGAGTACAAATAGACGAAGCATTTATTGATGAAGGGGTTTCTTATATCATTTTCCAAAAAAATAGATGAAAGGGAGTATTGAAGCTCAAATTATTTATTACTCTTACCTACATCAGTGTCATTTCTTTCGTTTTGTCGAATTGATTTTGTCAACTTATATGCAACAGTCGTAAGGGATCGGATGGAGTTGTGTAGGTAGGACAATGAAAAAGAATACCGTAAGGTGGGGCTATTTGAGACAGTGGGGCTATTTGAGACAGTATTTAAAATTGCTATAAAATAAAAAAACCGCTTGAAATTTATGCTTAATTTTTGTCCTGGCGATTTACTGCTTGATTCTACACCTTCCTGAACAAAAATATCACATAAAAATCAAACGCTCTTCATTTTATAGCGATTTTAAATACTGTCTCAAATAGCCCCACTGTCTCAAATAGCCCCACTTTACGGTATGTAGGTAGGATGTTCAGATGGGAGATCTGTGCCCACCGACCGTTCGGCAAACGCTCTGAACTGTTTCCATAGCTGCCGTTCGATCCGCACCACCGTTTGGCTTGGCTCGCTGCCTGAGACTCTGCAGCCGAACGTCACCTTCGACAGCGAGTTAGTGTCATATCAGATGGCTTTATGAGTCAGCCATTATAGCCCTATCGACATGTCTCGTGTAGATTCAGGGCCGGCGTCGTATCTTTAGAGTATAACTCGAAATGTTTCCACTCTCATTTCCACAGTGACTTAAAATTTTAGACACACGGCTGTTGTAAATACCTAAGGCGGGAATATCCATTTGAATTCACATTCATGGCTGAGATCAGAAGCAGTTCTCCCATCCCAGCCTGAGTGTCTCCTAGTGTCTCATTTCAATTGTCCAATGTCCAGCCCTTGGTGCAGAGTCCTCCAACCTCCAGCTCGGCGCTAAAGCTCGCACCAGCAGCTCCGGCCTCCGAGTCTCGAGCCTCTCCAAACATGACCCGTCTAACGAACTTCATGATAAACATGCCCTTGGGATCAAACATCCCCTGTCGATCCGACAGGTGACATGAGTCGGCCTACCGGGCTCAGACTCAGACTCACAAGCCCACAACTGTGTCCGACTGATAGTGTAAACTTGGCGCGGCGGGATGATGGGGTGTGACGCTGCCCCCCGTCCCCCTGGCACGTGCCTGGTCGAGTGTGCCAGCGTTGGTCGGTGGTCGGTGGTTGTTAGCGCTCCCCACCCCCTCTCGGAGGTGTGCCATGACCGTTGACCCCTGCCGCGGTCAGGTGACTCATGCTGTGGTTACGTCTGTGGCTTTGTGGTGTCTGAGTCAGAAGAAGAGTAAGTGCGTGCGTGCATTGCAGGGATAGGCTATTTGTCAATGGCACATTCGGCACATTGTCCTTTCACCTGACTAGTTTTGCTATACATATGAAATAGAAACGTAATGCCCTGCAGCATTGGCAAAAACTTTGATGCGTTTTTAATGAAAACAAAATAATAGTAAAAGAGTAGCGAAAATGATAGCAATATCAATACCTATCGTGTTTGTGAGCGTACCTAAGTAGCCTCATAAAAAATGTGCCCGCTTCTATCTCAAATTTCGCATTTATGTCATCATGTGACATCACCCAGACAGTGAACACAGCATTACCAGCACATATGCCCCGCTTTTCCCACCAATCACTGCCCCTGGGTCACTGCAGTCGCTGCCGCCGGTCCTCCCGCCACTCCCGGGGCCCGCCAGTGTCCCCCCTCCCCGGGGCGCTCTTACGTCGCGCTCACGCCCCTGTCCGGCCCTCGCCGAGCGTCACGCTAATTACCAGACGTGCTGACGTCCGTCCGCGTGCGTGCCCACGTGGCACGTGCTGACGTGGCACGTGCACCGACACAGCGTAATGACCCGAGCAGACTTGTGACAGCTCAAGAAAAAAGTGAGCTCGCTCAGCTCAACTCCGTCTTATCCGCTCCCGCTCAGCTCCCGCTCAGTTTAACGCGGCTCAGCTCAGCTCACGTTCCGCTCAAACCGGCTGCGCTCCGCTCACGCTCAGCTCAGCTCAGCTCAGTTTCCGCTCAGCTCAGCTCAGCTCAGTTTCCGCTCAGCTCAGCTCAGCTCAGTTTCCGCTCAGCTCAGCTCAGCTCAGTTTCCGCTCAGCTCAGCTCAGCTCAACTCAGTTCCCGGTCAGCTCAGCTCAGTTTCCGCTCAATTCAGCTCAGCTCAGTTTCCGCTCAGAAAAAAATGTACCGACGAAAAAATGCACGGACAAAAAATGTAGACGAAAAAAATGCGAGACGAAAAAAGTCGGACGAAAATCTGCGGACGAAACATTGTCCGACGAAAATCTTTTAGACGAAAAAAACGTCATGGAATCATCTCAACTAGGCGGTGTTTCACGGCCGAGAGCAGCACGCCCACGCCGCCATCCGCTCTTGGCACCCTGCCAGGAGCTGACGTTACATTTTGGGGTAGTGTTGGAACTTGGAGATAAGAGTTTGTTTATATCTCCATGGAAACCCCATTTGACACGTGTGATAGCAGCGTGCTGTTATCAGTGAAACCTATAACACCACCCTGATCTCAACCAAGGCAATGTCAACACTATTAGAATTCATAGTCGGCGTGTGAATAAGGGAGCTTTTCCCATGTAATGGACATCAGAAGGTGAGAGTTCCAGTTAGCGCCTCTGCCCCACCCCACTTTCAATAGGATATGGTTGCTTAGCCCACAATCAACCAACGAAGAGGAACTTTATTTGCTAATTCCTAATTGTAAATATTTTATGCACAGGTAAGAAGAACCCTTATTGATAAAATTAATTTAAATAACTGCTTAAATATCAAAGTGAAGAATGCTGAATTGTACATTGCGGAGCAGAGTGTCAAGGCGAAGCATCAAAGCCTGACATTAGGTATTCATCTTGCATGGTCAGACTTGAAACTTGAGACTGGCTGTATTAGCCTGTAAATTGGCCAAGACCCTGGTCTTCCAATTTCCATGCAATATGGGTGAAAGAAATTAAGCTTGATTAGTGATTACTATTGATTTCTTTAGAATTTTGATATTTTAAAGTGCGATCACGAAGGCAGTGTAATTGCTCACTCCATAGCTAGCTCATAGCTGAAGCATCAAAGCCTGAGTTAATTTCCAAGCATGAACTGAAAAGAATT